ATGTTCACTTATTCTAACATGTTTTTTAAATAACGTAACATATAAAATCAGAATTTTGATGTTTGTTGAAGGTAAACTAAATTCACGAACAAATACTTACAATGTCGGGATAGTATTATGAGGTTTTTTCCTGGTTTTCCCTCATAATTTACTATGGAATCACTAACAGGAGAATTTTACTGTCATCATGTCATGTGTTTGTCTTTTTAAAGACGAATTACATGCTATGATTTTTTCTGACGGATATTGTCAAGTTAAAGTTGATTTCATGTAATCGAATGAACTATCTTATAAGTAAAGTCGTCCCAGGAGCGCAACTCAACAATATTGGCAATATCATTTTAAAGTCGTCTACTTTAAAATGCATAATGTATGTCTGAATTGTCAATATAAATGAGTCAGATAAAATTAAATTATTAGAAGAATTTTTCACTATGTAACAAAAAACAAAATTTGTTTAATTTACTGTTTGTATTTTGAGAACGATTTCCGAAGTGGAAATTGAAACGTCAATAAACGTATTTTTATCTTTAATTGTGGCTTATTCCCAGTTTAATAGTAATTAATGAGATATTCGTCCGTACCCATTTCTTCGTACTTCGTGTTTTAATTAAATAATTACCTACTGACATAATGCTCCATGGCTCCATCCTCCATCACCGTAGCTTGTTCTTTAAGAAATAGACACTCGAGAACGATCGGTAACATTCGCCAAACGTCGCGCGGTCACGTTGCCTTAGAAGCCGGAAGTATTTCGATTAGGACCTGAAAATTTTTACCTATGCTCTACTACTTCCTTGATATCTCTTTATATTTTCATATTCTCGCTCCCAGAATTCGTTTTTCATTTGTGACAAAATTCTTTAGTTTTTCAGTTCAATGTTACATTTGTTTTTAGGTCTTCTGGGTCTGTTGTCTTTAACCAAGTCATATATGACTTTTTCTTTCGATTTGTGATTTCTTTTATCTCATTTATTATCCACATTATCCATCTGCTTTTCTCCAAACATCCCAAAGCCTTCCTTGCTGCTTGGTGTATGCATTCTTCCACTAACTGGTACTTCTCTTCTGCTGTCTCTACTTCACCTACATCTACAGTTGCTATCTTTACAATCAATCTTATATCTTTTCAAGAATTGTGCAGATTTATTTCTTAAGCTATTGATATTACATTTTATTACTTTAGGTTTGTTAGTAGTAACTTCACCTACCAACACATATTCTGCATTATGATAGGGCCTTACATAATTTTGTTTTTGTTTTTTTTGTGATTGGATCGGATAGTCAATCACAGGCCTACACAAAAGAAATAGTTTTGGTGATTTTGAATCTTTAAGCTGATTTTTACTATATTACGAGCAATAAATTGAAATATGGATTCCGTTTTTTTGCATCGCTCTAGTTTTATGAATATGGCACATTACAAAATTAGTAGTCTTAATATTTGAGATAATGAAGAAATATACATTGGAATAGTCAAAGGAATATACATTGTTAAATAAACTTCTTCCTCAGTATATTTGTATTTCTCACTATATTATCCCATTTTATAATCCACACTACGATACAAATGAATGACGTTTGTTTATTGATAGCTCCAAGCTCAGTTTGATATGTATTCTGCATTACAATGGAAACAAGTTTGGGTCAATACCAATTGCTCATTCTACCGTGGTAGTTGAATGAAGAAAAAGAAGATAAAATGTAAATTTGGGTAGACTTGAAAATGGTAAACTTTCTTCTTGGGCAGCAAAGCGGCTACACAAAATACCCTTGCTTCTTGTGTCTCTGGAGTAGTAGGGACCGAAAAAACCACTGGAATAAAGAGTGGCTTAAGAGAAAAAACTTGGTAATTGGGCAAAAGAACATTATTGCCCAGTCCTTAGTCGAACCAGAGAAAATAATCTTACCACCCCTCCATATTAAGCTGGGCCTAATGAAGCAATTTGTTAAGGCACTTGATTCTAATAGACCATACTTCGCCTACATAGGAAGGAAAAACTTAAAGCTGGAATCTTTGATGGACCACAGATCAGACTTCTCGAATCCGGCTTTTGTGGGGTCAATGAATGAGGTAGAGAAAAAAGCTTGGCTTTCATTTATGGACATTATCAAAAATTCTCTGGGAAATCACAAAAGTGAAAACTATGCTGAGCTGGTAAACAATTTGCTGAATAACTTTCAATCACTTGAATGCAATATGAGCATCAAAGTTCACTATCTTCACAGCCACCTGGACCGTTTCCCTAAAAACTTAGGTGACATAAGTGAGGAGCAAGGTGAGAGATTTCACCAATACATAAAAACCATGGAGGACCGCTAGCAAGGAAGATGGGATACTTGTATGATGGCAGATTTTTGCTGGAATTTGAAGAGAGACTGTTTAAAAGTTCATTTCATAAAATCACGCAAGCGAAGCTTTCGTAACGTCAAGCAAAGTTTTTTTTTTGTTAGTTTTTCTCAAAACCAATTTTATATCTGTTTCATTGTACAAAGGGCTTTATTGTAGTTAAAATGGCTTAAAATATACGTATTTTCTAATTGTGTGATTTTTATTTCAATTTAGTATATTCATATCAGCATATTCGTATTTTAATGCATAAAACCTGGCATGACCTACGTTATCTTGAAAAACTAGAGTTGATAGGGTAAAATGAAAGCCATATTCGAAATTAGCACCCCAAATATACCTAAAATCAGCTCTAAACACTTTTACACCAAAAACACTGTAGGCCTGTGAATTGATTGCAGTTTATTATTTGGTTGTATTCATGTAATTTTGTAAACTTCTTTGTGATATTGTTCTTTGCCTTTGTGGCATTTTTAATTAGGTACTATTTTATTGGGAATAAGCCACAATTAAAGGTGAACATAAGGTTATGATGAAAAAAATTAATTTATAACCTTTAAGGCATATGTTTAAAAGTCGTTCCCCATTGTTATTTAATTTTTTTTCTCCATATTTTCCTAGTATGGGACTATTTTTATTTCTTCCTACTTCTTCTGGTTTTGTTCTTTCAGGATTGGAAGGATAGCTCATTTAGTTCCGAGATTCGAGATGGGCAGTTATCGGGTGGCATCGGGTTATGTGGGCAGGTATTTGAAGAACAAAAGGAGTAATTGTGAACGGTCAAGTCGTCAATAATTTGCCATATGCGGATAACACAGTACTCCTTGCTTCTACTCAAGATCTGCAAACATTACTTAACAGTGTAGTTGAGAGCTTTAAGGAAGCAGGTCCAGATCTAAACATACGAAAAACCAAAGCATTCGTGATATGTAAATAACATAATATAAGACCTTCTATATACGTAAATAGTACCAAACTTGAGCAAGTTGATCAAATTTTTTTACCTTGGATATCAGTTAAACTGTAACGCAGAGAATCACTATGAAATTAGGTATGGAATTGAGTAGGTCAGAGTCGCTTTTAGAAGGATGTCGAAGGTATATATAAATCGCCTTGAGGCTTTCGAAATGATGTAGTGCTATAGAAAAAGTTTCTTGGGTGGAGAAGATTCGAAACTCCACAATACTAGAACGTCTCAGCAAAACTACTGAGATTATAAAAAGCATCGACAAGAGAAAGCTGAAGTAGGTAAGAAATAATAAATCAGACTTACTCACAATCAATTTAATTTAACTATCCGACGACGGTTTCGCTTTCTACAATATGCAAAGCATCTTCAGGTCTCGGTACAAAGTTAAACAAATGCTGAAATGATAAAAACCCATATTAGGGTGTTGTCTAATAAAGATAAACAAATTAGATGTTACAAATTACAATAATTATGCCAATATTACCTGTCTGTGGTTTTTTATTTAAATGATTGAGTTGAAAAGGTATAAATATTTTTTAAAAAAGTTTTAAAAAGTTAAAAGGACAAGGTAAGGCCCACAAGTTGTCATAAAATCTCTTCTATTGGAATAAATTAATGAATGAGCAAATAAATAAATGAAATAAAATAAAATAAAATTACTTACATGCCGGTACTCTATTATTAGATGGACGGTAGAACATGTTTGAAAACATGTTCTACCGTCCATCTATTAATAGAGTACCGGCATGTAAGTAATTTTTATTTTATTTTATTTCATTTATTTATTTGCTCATTCATTAATTTATTCCAATAGAAGAGATTTTATGACAACTTGTGGGCCTTACCTTGTCCTTTTAACTTTTTAAAACTTTTTTTAAAAAATATTTATACCTTTTTCAACTCAATCATTTAAATAAAAAACCACAGACAGGTAATATTGGCATAATTATTGTAATTTGTAACATCTAATTTGTTTATCTTTATTAGACAACACCTAATATGGGTTTTTATCATTTCAGCATTTGTTTAACTTTGTACGAGACCTGAAGATGCTTTGCATATTGTAGAAAGCGAAACCGGTCGTCGGATAGTTAAATTAAATTTATTGTGAGTAAGTCTGATTTATTATTTCTTTACCTATTTGAAATGGACTCACACAAGCAACAAATTCATGATTTGAAGAAAGCTGAAGTATTTCAGACATGTAGTAAGAGGTCTCAAATATACGTTGCTACAAAATATTTTGCAAGGGAAACTAGCAGGCAAACTCAGTCCAGGATAAAAAAGACTTCATTCACTCGCACGGCTTAAAGATTCTCTAAGCACTAGAGAAATAGATAGTTAGGATAAGTGTTTTTTTTTGTGTTAATGGGACGGAAGGTGAAGTTCAGCAGATTGTTGATTCTTTTAGTCGGCTTTCACGACAAGCAGAAGTCTGTGTGGATATTCTATTTCGTGGCCCGTCTAAAAGACGGAGTCAAGAATTTTAGTACATTAGAAAAACTTTCAGGAAATGTGCATTCTCTTCCTAGTTTCCAAATTTTTTTTAAAATATCGCCTTCGCTAACAAACTCTTTCTTCTTTCTCTTTAAACACATATTTTCTAGTATGCTTGTGTCCCTTAACGATCAAAATAATCTATTAAATAGTAATATTTTTTAAATATTTACTGTATTTTAGGCCGGCAAACGCAAACAATACTTAGTGGGTCTGGAACTTCGTAGAAGATACGATCGTTTCCTGGGAGACTACTACTACCCGGAACTCGTAGAAGCAAGAAGTACCCATTACAATCGTACCAAAATGTCGTTGCAGTTAGTCTTAGCCGGACTGTTCCCGCCAAGAAAAGACGATGAAGTTTTAGGAATGCCCTGGCAGCCAGTTCCGTATAACTATTTACCCGTGAAACAAGACGATGTAAGTTTACAATTCATCCATATTTATATTAATTTTAAAAGTAATTGTTATTTTTTCGTAGATACTTATGGGAAGCAACTGCCGAAAGTATTTAGAACTTTACAAAGAATACAGTAGTCGTCCGTCTGTTCAAGAGAAGTTTGCGAAGTACGGCGAAACCTTTAAGTACATATCTGAACATACTGGTTTGAACATCACAACTTTAAAGACATTTATAATTTACATTTCGGTCTGTCCACTGAAGAGGAATATGGTCTGAAGCTACCTGACTGGACTAAGTCTGTATGGCCAGAACCGATGACCAAAATTTTCCCCGAAGAGTACTACATAGCGATGGGAACAGCGGATATGCGAAGAATTGCCATCGGAAACTTTTTGAAGAAAGTTCTCGATGACACCAAAGCGAAGATATCGGATCATCGCAAACTGGGTAGAAAGATGTACCTCTACTCAGCTCACGAAAGTACGTTATCGTACCTGATGATATCTTTGAGAATATTCGAAAAACACATTCCCACATACGGCGCCTACGTCGTCATGGAGTTACACCGTATCAGAGGCGTGTACGGGTTCAAAATATTTTACAAAAAGTGGGATGGCTCCGGCTTGAGGTTGGTAGAGATGCCGGGATGTAAGGAGTTCTGTCCTCTGGACGTATTTACCTCTTTGTTAGCAGATAATCTGCCGACCAGTGATAACATGTGCGGTAATTGAAGAAGTATTGGTTATACTGGGTATAACGTTGTAAAAATTTGATAGGAAAAGTTTGCTGTGCAAAATTAAATAATTATACAGTCAAGATTTAGTTAATTTATGAGAGAAAAATAAAACAAAACAGTTCATAGTTAAATATATGAATAATATGAAAGGTTTTTATTTTAGCACCTTATGGCTTTGGAGTCTGTTGTATTGACGATTATCTGATCCCAATAAAGTGGCTTCAGATTTTGTAGAGCTTAACAACAACTGTTGTTGATTTTTATCTCATTCATATCGAGAAAAGTTGCGTCTTTTGGATGAAAAGCTCCTCTTCTTTTTAACAATATCGATGTTTTCTTGGTTATGGTTCCCTAAAAGATTCGACACAGATCATAAAGGTGGATTTTACGATCTGTGAATACTCTTTCTTATAATGACTACTGTTTTCATGATTGTGTCTTGTATTTTTGATTATGATACTCTTCTAGTTATTTTCTATCTTCCGTCTATTCGACCCTTTCCTACAGCTACTCTCTATTTATCTTTGATCTTTATTTATCCAGCTATTTACTGTTTCTTTAGATAAACACTCTGTTTTTCAACTATTTACTGTATTGTGGTTAATGTTAATTGACCGCAGTTGAAAATAGATAGTCCCCAAATTGGGTGCCAAAATAAACGTTATGTGGTTAACTCCGATTAAAAATAGTAAATGGTGTATCATAAACCGAATGTTTGTTTTAGTATTTCCAAATTCTTATTCAAGCAATTTTTCTTAATACTTTTTTCAGTTTTTGAAAAGTACTTTTGGCTGATTATTGGTTTCCTACATTCTCCGAACTGTGATACGCTGTTATTTTTTCTTTTTTTTTGTATCCTAATTCATAGTTGAATATTGGTAGTGGATATGCTTGTACCTTTGAAATGTCTGGGACAAATCACACTTGGTATCCAAATAAATTTTCGTGTCTATAAAGACATAACACAGCTGGTACTGTGCTTTTATCTGTCGATATACGATAGATGTGTAATGTATTATACTGAGTAAGCAGGGTTTATATTTAAACCTAGCCAATACATTCCAGTTTTGATCAGTTTTTGCCTTGGATGTAATAAAATCTTATTTATTTATAAAACAAAAAATAAAAAAAATCAGTATTAAAACCTATTTGATAGCTATGTGGTAAAATAAGTTGTGTGTGTAGAATGATTGTATCAAATTGCTACTAGGTTTCTTAATATTAAGTATATTGTTAATTTTTTTTAATAAAATCATTTGTTTTTATTTGTTTTTTCTAACAGCTCCTTTTTAAAATACTTGAAGGCCAGATCCTCAATAAACTTCCATAAATAATTAAGATCCTCAATAAAAAACTATATGGTATAAAAAGTTATATACTGGATTATATACTGGTACCAAAAAGCAGTAGTAAAGGTGAACGATATACAAACAAATAATATACCGATTGCGAGAGGGTCAGACAAGGATGCGTCTTGTCTCTGACGCTTTTCAATGTGTACTCACAGGTCATATTTAGAAAAGCCTTATGGGAAAGAAGAGAGGGAATAAAAATTAGTGGAAAAATCGTAAACACCATGAGATTTGCAGATGACACGGTAATTATAGCTGAGAGTAAAGAAGAACTACAAACTTTACTAGATGCAATAAATAGTGAATGGGACATCAACACAGATAAGACCAAATTTATGATAGTATCAAGGAGAATAATTAACAACTTACCTTTGGTGGACAGCAAATAGTGAGAGTGACAGGGCAGCGGCAGCTGGCAAGCTGGCAGGCTGGCAATGGCAAGGGCAGCGTTCTTAAAATTCAAGCAATTGTTCTGTAACAAAAATCTGAATACTACACTGAGACTGAGGTTTGTTGAATGTTACGTCTGGCCCCAATTATTGTACGGGGTAGAAACATGGACGTTAAAAGCGCAAATAGTTAAGAAGCTTGAAGCCTTTGAATTGAACTTTGGATATACCGGAGAATGTTGAGAATTCCATGGACTGCAGGATAACCAATAAGGAAGTGCTGAAATGGATTGGCCTAGACAAAAAATTGTTGAAAACAGTAAAAGTATGCAAGACTGCGTACCTTGGAAACATACTGAAGAATGATAAATATAGTCTTTTCTGCAGGTCATCGTGCAGGGTAGAGTGGATGGCAAAAAGGGAATAGGTAGAAAGAGGAAGTCATAGCTGCGAAATATTCAAGACTGGACAAACATGACTGTAGACGAATTAAGCCACATTGCAAAAGACAGAGATATTTTTAGAAATGTGGTCGCCAACTTCCGTTAATGGAGACGGCATAGGAAGAAGAAGAATAAAAAACTCACGAAGGAACATTGTGGTTTTGTAGCATTTGCAATTCATTGATTCTTTGGTGTATATTGAAATCCCCTCGTATATGTTGAAAAATCGCAAAATACTTTTAATGAATCTTCCTATTCGTACGTATTAAAACGCAAATAATATTTCGTTCTTTTCAGCGCGTCGCCAAGTAATTAAAACCATTTTAGAGTTGTTTATTATTTTAAAGATGTGTACTTAGGCAATTTCTTTTAATGTACGTCCTAGAAATGGAATCTTCTGCGTTTTAATTCTTGTCAAGTGTTCTTGTCAAGAGTCCACGTTGTTCTCCGAGTGCAGAGGTTCCCTCTCACCGGCTCTGGAACCCAATTGAACCATGTGTTACCTACAGTCAAATTTAATTTAATACTGAACATCACAGTTATTTTATAACACAATGTACAATATTTCATAACTAAATGTAATTTAAAGGGTTTTTACCCTAATATTTTGGTGGCTCAGGCATTGTGACCTAGCATTTTCGATTTTAATAACATGATGATGGACTGTGTGGTCCGAAAACGTTTGTTTTATTGATGTGGCCCTTTTAAGGGTTTTTTTAAATAAATATACCCATTTACAAAGATTAACTCTTTTTATTTCTCAACCGGTTGTTTTTCATGTAAGATGCATATTGTGTTTTACGATATACAATAGATAAATTTGCAGATTCATTTTTTAACACCAATTTCTCCAAAACCCCAGAATTAGTCCCAATAACAAGGTAGTGAAAATGATAAATTTTAAATACTTTACCAAATTCAACTTTATAGAATTTAGAATTTGCAGAATTAGTTAATTTGGATTTAAGTCGGTTCTGATAACCTTACTTTGAGGCCATTGGGATAATGAAGGCACTGTATTTGTGAACATTCCGTACCCGAAACATTGCAAATGTTTATATCACCAACAATATTCTAATTACCAATATTCTAATTATAGCAACTCTTTAATTATAATGTACTAAAACAATTTTTAATATACCTAATGAATTTGAACTAATTTCATTAATTAACATATTTTATATCAGATCAATTGTATATAATGGATTAAATTCCATTTGCTTGTTTATGTTAATCCAATTGATTCATTGTTTATTAGCAACACTATAAAATTTATGTTTGTAAAAAACTCTGTTTGGAAATTATTTCTGCTCGGTGATCCGATAAAGAGAATTTTTGATCAGAATTACGAGTTAATTTGTAAAGAATATTTCTGCACACAAAAAATTTACACAAAATTTACAATTTTTAAATTTTGATGCACTGGATCTGAAATAGTTAGTACAATATAGTTTTCCCTACTATCTTTAAGCTTTTTTCGATTTCCAGATGAAATTTTTGATATTAGTCATCTAAAAGCTTATGAATAGCTTCAAGTTTAAATATAATATTGTTTCCCGCCACATATCCCTTTCCCTATAAGTTCAGTTTTTCTATCTTAAAAACTCATGCAGAATTTGCTGTTGCTGTGTTTTTTTCCTGTTCCTAGAAAATAATTTCAATCAACATCACTTAAAACAAAATTGTCACTAAAAATTATGTACTCCTTGGTTCTACGTTGAGTTATTCTTCTTCTTCTACGGCTCTACAGCCCAAATTAAACCTTAGCCTCCTTTATTTTGTGCCTCCACCCTTGCTTGTCTGTGGCTGATCTTCTCCATACACAGACTCTCAAAAGGGCTTTCCATTTACTGTGTGTTCCCAGTGATTTCTTGGCTTTCCAACCGGTCTCTTTCCTTTTCCGTCTCTAAGTGACCAACAAGAATGGTAGAGTTAAACGGAAATTTGTTAAACAAATTGGGATGGCGATATTGCTACCGTTTAGAGCGTAATAAGTCTTATAATTACTTTCAAATCGAAAGACTGACGTGTGAAATAAGAACAGAAGCAGTTCAAATAATAGGTAATTTAATAATTGAATGTTACTACAACTAAGTTAATATCTAGCCAAAGTTTTAGCGAAAGTTCTTTTATTGAAAAAGCCGATCACTGTCTACACACTGGCCCACGACACACTACAAACACTAGCACTGATACAGATTAGACTGGACTTACTTTAACTAAGGACGTTTTCTTCTGTATGAATATACTTGATTAATAATGAGCGTTCAGCTGTTAGCTATAACCTATGTAACGATAACTAAAATGCGAGAGATAAAACTTTAAATCAATAAGCGACCAGCTCAGCTGGGCGACAATTTCATACTGACATTACTTAAGATTCTTATTGCAATGTATATAATGTATATATGCAGGGATTTGACTGATTGACCTGACTATTGCAAGTAATTTTTGGGGAACGGAGGACTATACTTCATCTAATTTACATACCGATCTTCTTCTTACGGTGCCTTATTCTTAAGGACGTTGGCCATTACATTTGCCCATTTAATCTTATTTGTAGCAGCTCTGAATAGTTCTATGGAGGTCATATTCGTCCATTGCCGTAGGTTTTTAAACCAAGAGTTGCGTCTTCTTCCTGGCCCTCTTTTGCTATTGACTTTGCCTTCAATTATAAGTTGGAGCAGTTAATACTTTTGATTTCTTATGATGTGACCAAAATATTGTGTTTTCCGTTCTTTTATTATAAGCATAAGCTCTTTTTCCTTATTCATCCTCCGCAAGACTTCCGCATTTGTCGTATGGCTCATGTAGGATATTCTGAGCATTTTACGGTAACACCAGAGTTCGAATGCTTGGATTCTTTTTTGTTGTTGCTTCTCTCATTGTCCAGGCTTCAACACCATAGAGCAAGGTAGAGAAAACATAGCACTTAAGTATTCTAGTTCTCAATGAGATGCCCAGCTGGCGGTTGCATAGAACTTTATATATTTTGTAAAACATTGTACGTGCCTTTTCCAGGCGTATTCTTATCTCTAGTGAGTGGTCCCAAGTTTCATCAAAATTACTTCCAAGGTACGTTGTTCTTGTTACTCTTTCCAGATCTGTTCCGTCGACATTGACCTTCACCCTTCTGTTTTGGTGCTTGCTGATGACCATCGTTTTTGTCTTCTTTGTTCATGCCTGTAGAGAATTTCATTCCAAATTCTCTACAGACTGTCGTTACTCGGTCCATTAAGCGTTGTAAGGCTTCAGCATTATCTGCCAGTATGACAGTGTCATCAGCATATCGCAGGTTATTTATACATTACCTGTTTATAATTATACCATCCGAGGTGCCTTCCAAAGCTTTCTGAAATATCTTCTCAGAGTAAACATTGAACAGCAAAGGTGATAGGACACATCCCTGTGTTACTCCCTTCTCGATATAGATTCTTCCAGATGTTTCGCCTTTTATTCTGATTTTAGCCTTTTGTTCTTGGTAAAGGTTTGAATTGATCCTTAAGTCTTTATCGTCGATATTACATGATGTTAAAACATCTATTAGTTTATCATGTTTCACCAGGTCAAACGTCTTCTAAAAGTCTATAAAATACAAGTATACATCAGAATCGTCATCTCTACATCTTTCAACTAGCATACGTATTGAAAAAAGTGCTTCTTTTGTTCCGAACCCATTCTTAAAACCAAACTGAGTTTGACCAGTGTGTTCGTCTAGTTTATTGTATTATTGTGTATTACTCGTAGGAAAAGCTTCAACATATGATTCATCAGGCTAATAATCCTATGGTCTTCACATTTCTTGGAGTTTCTCTTCTTTGGTAGTGGTGTAAACACCGATGTCAGCCAATCATTTGGTATTATGCCTGTTTCGTATATTTTGTTAAATATATCTTCCATTACTTTGATGTGTTCGTCTAGTAATACC